GAATGAGGAATAAGCTGTGGTAAGGAAGACACATCATGCCTCAAAGACAAACACTCTCATTTTGGTAGTATTTTCAGGTACTTCGAATTAGGCACCAGCGAAACGCTATCTAGCTCATGTAAAAATCTCCACGAGCAGATTGATATTCATGTATGTCGGCAAACGTGCAATTCTGGTTCCTAATTTTCGATATTGTTCAATGAGAATCTGCTTCATCTTCTATCACCGCCAAATACCACTCAAAGTCAAGGTCCCGGCTGAGGCCGCTGGAGTAATCCCTTTGGTAGGTAGAAGAAAGCTGTTAACGACGTCAGCAATGCGCTAGTGACACTGCCCGAAGCGCAGCAAAGGAACGAGGGGTCTCATCAATGCCTCCGATTTGTGGGCGATGATGAATGAGTTGCTCGACATGCAGCGGCCGCTTTTTATGCTTTTCACGGTTCTGCCTTCTTTGGACTATCTGTCTCTCCATATTACCACATTCGACCTTGCAGGAACCCTAAGCTTCCAAACGTGTAATTTTGGTGACTTTTTTACTTTCTTCTGCTTTTTTCCAAAGTTTTAGCCCACTTATTTCAACTTCACCAATGAAAGCTCTTACACACCAAGTTTATCCTGGAGCATGCCTTCGAAGGCAGGTGACATGATAAACCATATGTTGAAGACGGACAGATGTGCCTGAAGAAACTGCCTTGTAGGATGGAAAACGTGGAACTTTCTCGGGCAACTGTCACTCTTCAGCATTATGTAATTACTGTGGATTATCGAAGTGCCTTCCACATCACACTGTCACTATGCACTAGGCACAATATGCTTAATATCTACTGAACTGCGTAATATCTTTCGCTTCTATGCACTTAACACGTTGACGACGCGTTTTGTTTTTGCACCGCGTGGGACAGAGCGATTTTGCGAGCGCCGCCGCCGCACACCAAATCCATGGATTTTGAGCTGTAAATACGCAATACTTAGATGCGATGAAGTGTTTTCAATGATGTTCGATCTGTCTAGCTTATCGGGAGTTACAGTAATGGAAGTTCGACCGAAATGACGTGTTAAGGCCATGAAAAGGCAAATTTTACTTACTTTCCCTTTAGTGGTTCCAAAATTAATTTGGACGTGGTTGTTTCAGTAAAAACACATATCTTCCCATACGAATAGGTTTGTATTCGCTTCTATTATTCCTTTTTATCAACATGTTTACGTTAATGAAAAGAAAACGAGGAATGAACTGAACAGACATATCCGTAAGGTCTGGAAAACCTCTGCCAAACTAATATTTGGCCTTTCTGTGAGCCATGTGGTTTTTAAGTATGCTAATGTATGACCTATAGAATGAGTACAAAGACCTTAGGAATAAGTCGCACAAGCGCAAGAAAAAGGGATGACTTGGGTGGGACGCGTTACCGCGTCACAATGTCCCACGAGGTGCGCAAAGTGGGACGCGTTACCGCGTCACGCTGTCGTCAACGTGTTAAGGGCGGAGTTCGCGATGAAAAGACATTCCATCAAAACTAGTTCGTGGTAGTCAGTGTGCCGTGGAAGAGAAAAGAAAAACCGATAATACCGCGGTCTGAAACTTGAGAAAGGGCCCCTTGCCCGTTGACTTACGCATTGATGCAAGTATCATGAGTGCTGTCCTCCTCACGCTAATTCTTTCGGTGCTAAACGGCTGGAATCATACGGAGAAGAGCTTTCTATCGTTGGGCGTCCGGGTGGCCCGATACGCGCTGCTAAGGTCCTGGAGGAAACCGCGCTGCACATCGCGCATCGTGTCGTAACCCATATAAGGCGCATGCATTTCCGATAGGAGTATACTTCCGCTTCTCCACCCTTCGGCCTTATCGTGAAATTGTCTTGTTTCTCAACCTCCTTCTCAATTAGTTTGAAAAAAAAAAACATCCTGTGTTTGCTCGATTGCGCAATGTAAGAAACATATCTAAGTTTTTACAGCTTAAACAAAGGTTCATTCAGTGTATGGTGAAAACAAGTGGATTGTCAAGACTGCTCACTGAAGTATCGCCTGTTGACATTCATTCCATCTACGGGGGTCTACAGATCTCTGGGGAAAGAGCCGAAAAGGAAAGCCTCGTTTTGCGGTACGTTTTAATCCAACGTCACTGAATTCAATCTCTCAGTTCCTTTGTTTCCGTTTCAGTTTCATGTAGCTCGCTCAAACTCGGACGAAAAGATGCAGTTGCAGTCCAGGGTGCAGGATATTGGCGATGGTCTCATTGAGGTAAAGGTTCAGGATCTGAGGAAGATTCTGCAGACAAATAAGCCATTTATAGCTCGTCGGATTGGAATCGGCTATGCAAATGGGTCAGATAAAAGCCGGTGTGCGAGGAGCTCGCAGGCTCTCGCAGTGCTCTACTATTGTCATCGAGTTTGTTTTTTCTTTACTTACCTCTTAGTCTAACCCTACTTTTTTGGATATCAATGAGTGTTTCACGGGTTTTGCTCTTGAAAATAGTTTGATTGACACTTTTTTCGTGGTCCCATAGTGGTTCTCATTCTGTTGCTGTTTCAGGACATTTAAGTCGTTCCCCATGCAAATCGACGGCGAGCCTTGGATGCAACCGCCATGCATGATCCAAATCACGCACAAAAACCAAGTCAAGCTGCTCGTTGGTAGGTGGAGTTCCTTTATTCAATTAGGCCAAGCTCCCTTAAGTGAAACTTGACAGTTCCAGCTCCGAGAAAGCGAAGCTCTTGGTCGTTGCTGAGTCGTCAGTCGACATCGGATGATCTCTAATCACAAGTAAAAATATTGCTACAGATCTTATTATCACTATCATAGTGTAACCAATAAACTATTTGTTTGCTGTGGCGTTATTTTGGTATTTTATTGATGAAAACATCACTCCCAGATCGAATGTATGGGGTCAGCGGTTGGTACCCCCAGGAGGCCCGTCGCGCGCAAGAAGGCAAAGTCAGCGGACGAGTCGCGCGCGTACTAGGGATTTCGCGTCAAGTTAAATAGAGTGTCCCACTTGCACGTCCTACATCGCACACCACGCGCTGCAACTCGTCCGCCGACTCTGCCTTCTTGCCGCGCGACGGGCCTCCTGGGGGTACCCGTCAGCAGTTGATAGCGGAAGATGTGGGTGCTGAACTGACTGAAAAATGAAAGCAAAGAAAATCATTGATGATGCCCAGAACAAAACCCCTTTTAAAGGGAAGAGGCAGGGCCAGACGAGTTGTGCGAACGTGCCTACTCTACGGCCAAGTAATCTGCGCGTATTTGAATTAGCCACTACACCGTAATCCACGTTGCGTGTTAGGGTGCGCCATGTACTACATATGTCGTCCATATGATAAGACCAAATGCTGACTTTGTAAGACCTTAGCGCCATTGTAGCGCACTTTCGGGACCACGCACATCAGTGCTACTCATGAGTCACTCTATCTCTCCACTGATTAAATTCTTCAACATGTTCTGCTAGGGTGTTGCTTTAACTAGGTATCTGTTATAAGTTGTATGGTACAGAAACAGAAATTAGCACAGAATTGGTACGCTCATCGCCTGGCTAACTACTCGCCGCAGTCTCCAGCTGTTTAGCAGAGAGAGCGTTAGCGTTGAAGAGGGCAGCATCGATGAGAGTCGCATCAATGCGGAAATCAACGGGCAAGGAAGGGGTCCCATTTCTCGGGTTCCGGGCCGTTTCTCATGGTTTTTCTTTATCCTGGCTCCACTGACCACTTCTACCTCAATTCTAATGACTGAGAGCCGAATGGGGCATTACTCACCAAGCGAGGTATTATACGAGTGAAGATGAAGAGATGATTAGCGGGTCAGCGGTTCCCTATAGCCCTCTATAGCCCAGTTATTTTAACACGCCTTCATCGTTTAATGAGAGTGTGGGTGACCTTCAATTTCAAAAACTCGCCAGTTCATGCTTGTTCGCCACTTTTTGAATCAATATTTTCTATTGCTGCTACCACTTATGTTACTGCGGCCTGTATTTCAATATTCCTCGAAGGGACGCCGTGAAGATCTGATGGGCGTTTCCATGACGACGACGTGCACGCTAGCACTATGCTCGTTATAGTTGCGGACATTTCTTCTTCTCAAAGCAGATCCGTCAGTTCTGCACTCCTGAGGAACGCAAATTCTTCTCCTGTCTTGTGATAGTTATAATGCGCAAGTAATACCCCGGCTATCAGCGAGCTATAAGCAGTCAATAGGATTCCGCTATTCACTCGTTCCTGCCTCAGACCAATGTCAAGTGCAATTAAAACCGAATGCGGCATTGCGCAGACGTGGGCGAAGAACTAGCCAAAGGAGGAAGAGTTGCCACGTACGACCCAAGAGACTGAGGAAATTACGTGTAGTAATCATGGAGAAAGAGAGGAATTATAACTACCGATGAAAATTTCCCATTCAGAGCGAAGCCTGTACCAGAGCCGAGCCCGGCTGCGAAATGGAAACCGAACTTTGAGTTGCTGAACTTCGAGACGTCTAATGCCCTTTTGCATAAACTTTTCGTGAATGGGGGACTACGTCGGATGCAAATCACTCATCGGTGTGAGTTGAGCTGATGAATAGTGGTTTTAGAGAAGAAATTCGTCATGTTCACACATTTTATAGCCTACATTTACAGTTTTTTTCATTCAATTGTGGTTGGTGTACAGGGTGCGCCAAAATTACGGAGACAACGCATGAGCAAACAATTTGAACTGATATTCACAGATGCTGTTTTCTTCTGTCCTAGTTTTGGTACTGTGGTGTAGAATTGTTTATGCTTACCTTGTTCAACCACCAAAATCTATGGTAGCTGCAGCGGTTGACTGATACTGACACCGTCCCTAAATCATTGGACTTCGACGTTGAGGGTTTTTGGCACGCGACAATTATCATCGTTTTGGTGTATACCCGAGCACTATCAATAGATGCTCCAAGTGGTACAGGGGACAAGGAGCTGAATGCAGTCATTCTGGATGAGAAGGGCGTGTTTCTGTGGCGACCACGAACAATCTAAGGATTGTGTGCGATAGAATTTGCAGGTAGTTGACGCGCTGGTTTCACTGGATGTCACGAGAGATAGGAATCAGGGGGGCTCTTTTGGACTTATCAGAGCCCATTGCTATCCTGAGTTTATTTTCACTTTGAAAATCGTTGCTGGGCCTTCCATCAAGTAGGAGCTCCCGTTTACGAGGCAAGGGTGGTTCAGTACTAGTGCAGCATTGATGCAGAACCGATTTTTTCGACTTTGTCGGCTTAAACGGTGGTAGAACAGCATTTCAGATCTGAGCTCGATAGGGTACGCTGTCGGATCCGTTCTAGAAGCTGAGGCTTGCATAAAACACATTATGTCTAGGGATTCGTTGAAGAAACCGCTCTAAAATGAGCTTGACGAGTCCTACTCGCCACATTGCGTGCCACAGTCGATGGTTCCTCGATGTTTCTGAGGACCCGTATAAACACAAACCAAGGAATTTCAAAAATTGCATGGATGTCGACGATTCAGAATGGGACTGTGCACGTCACTGCATTTTTGTTTTCAAAGAATTGCACCTTGCTCATCCTAGGCAACTCGAAGTCGCTGTCTCCGTAATTTTGGCGCAAGTGGTGTAGTGGCAAGTGGCACGCTTACCACGCGAGCGGTCCGGGGATCAAATCCTGGGTCGTGAGTCGCCCGGGCCAACCAAGCCTTCCATCCCTCCGGGGTCGGTTAATTGGTACCAGACTTGTCTGGGAGGATAAAAACACTGACTTGTACATCGGCTGGCCCCCGCAAGTCATTGTAGGCCACATCGCATCAAATGCCACTGCGAATGCACAAGGTGGATAGTTACATATGAATTTGGCGTGCCGGCATCGGAGAAAGTGATTAGATCAATGGCCAGTCTTTTTTTGTGTAGTGTTAATATCGGGAATGCCTTATGCCTTTTCGATCCCTTTTTCATATCATTTGACGAGGATTCTACTGTAAAGGGTCCTCGTCTGATCAAGAGCTTAGAGTTTATAGGAAGCTTCTGGGCGTAAATTACCCGTGTTTGCGATGGGGTTCTAGGGCATCCTATGCTGCGCCTTCAAAAATTGTTGTTCTTTTTATGATTCATTGTGGACGGCTTAACAATGGCGCAAGGTGTGGTATGTCGCTTGATACGGTGTTGCGGATATCTTTCCGAGATTGCCTGCAGGTGAGATGCTTTTTTGGTATTTCGACATAAATTGATTGAAGGCAGGTGTTGGTATGCCCCACAAAAAAATGGTCCCACGTTGCGTCCAGTGGGACTGCTCCTTTCCTCTCTCTCCGTCTTCCGTCGGTGCCTGACCCGACTGCTTTCTTCGCCAAATTATGTAGTAGCGTTGGAAAGAATGAGAGAGTTAGGAAACAAATGATTATTGTTTGTCGTGACTTCAGTTTGTTTTTCATACATATCATGTAAGACCAGTCTGTATGCGTCCTGCGTGCTGTTGCAAGTGTGATGAGCAAGTGCCCTCATATCTTTCAACTAATTTGTTTATAGTTAAGCTGGCTCAAAGACTGAATGTGGATCATGGCATCTTCTTCCATTCAATGAGATTGTTAGAATCTAGCCTTAGGCTTTATACCATGAGATAACGTGAATTATGGCAATAAGTCTTGGGGCCAGTTCTGCGTGGAAAGATAAAAACGAAGACGTACACCCGTTGGTTGCCCCGCAGGCTATTATTCCGGACAAGCCGCATTGAAATGGCGCCATAATCCCACATGGAAGCGGATGCGCGGCCCATCCCAAGAAAGAATGACCAACACCGAGTGCTTCATTCCTCTTGTACATATCAATGTGACAACAATTTTTTCTCTCAAAGCAATGTTCAAAGCATTTATGAGCACGTACTTCTAAGAACTGCCCAGGTACTATTGGACATAGGGAGTTTACTGATTGTGAAATTGAGTAAGGTGGTGGGAGATACTTTTGTTTCGAGCACTGACAAGTTTCGTTGCACACTAAATCAGCTTCGAGATATGATAAAGGATAAAAAGGATAAAGCATTTGCCGTTGATCAATCCCTTTTTGGGATGCGGCACGCATTCTACTTCCATTTGTACATTCGTAGTGGCGTTTGAATGCGATGTGGCCTATACAATGACTTGCGGGGGCCAGCCGATGTACAAGTCAGTGTTTTTATCCTCCCAGACAAGTCTGGTACCAATTAACCGACCCCGGAGGGATGGAAGGCTTGGTTGGCCCGGGCGACTCACGACCCAGGATTTGATCCCCGGACCGCTCGCGTGGTAAGCGTGCCACTTGCCACTACACCACTTCCGCCCTTAATATGATACTCTTTTAAATGGCATTTTTTTTCAGGAAATGCTGGAGCAATGTTCAAATCAGAGCGAATACGCTTTCTACATGCGTGGCGTAATCGCTCGCATCGAAGGTGAACTTGAAGAAGCCCTGTCGTGGTTCAACAAAGCGCTCGCAATTTCCGCGAATGCGCCCACGTAAGTTAGATTCTAAAAAAAGCGCATCTAACACCAATTATGTACATTAGCTTTCAGTTACCTGGTGAATATTGGACGGGTTTATTTCCTCATGGGAAATCATACGCTTGCCGTGGAGTATCTGGAGAAAGCTGTGAAAGCGAACCCTAATGATTCGGTGAGTAGAAGTTGTTAGATAAATGGATGAATATTTATTAAATCGTTCATAGACTTCATGATCTAAATGATTTATAAGACCTTTCCCATTTGGTAGGCAATGGCTGGAGATCGTTTTGGAATGATGTGGATATTCCTTTATCTGCCCCATCTGGGACAGATTACGGAATCAAAAATTTCATCTTTGTACGCATGAATATCCCCCTACATACTAGGTTTCGTCATAAAATAGTGCCGATTTCTTCACACCCACGCCATCTTTTCAAAAAATGTTTGCATTGATCCCCGCAAAGAGTATGTGGCGATCTTACAAGGAAGGTCATTCAGGGCAAGCCACGCTTTTCCAAAAAGGTTTCTTGCACATTTTGGGTTGGCGCCTGTGGGGTGG